GATAGATAGATAGATAGATAGATAGATAGATAGATAGATAGATAGATAGATAGATAGATAGATGATAGATAAAGATATAGTTAGATATAGCTAGATATAGATATATTGTCAAAGAGAAAAAAAGAATACATAAGTGTTTTAACAAAAACCAAAGAAAAAAACAGAGATCATTGGTAAGCTTTCAGTGAAATGAAAATCCAGACACTCTTGTGTTCAGATGACATTCAAGAGAGGATAACTGGTGTGCAAAAAGATCATTGACTTGAGGGGTACAGACAATGATGCTCTGGGATATTTTTCTGTACGTGCAAGAAAAATGCCTTTAATCAATGCCAGAGCATTCATTCTACTGGAGTTGATTGACTGGTCTGAAGGTGTATGTGAGCCACCTTTGATGTTCAAACTGACTACAGCGGAAACAAAGAAGTTCATTGATGAACAAGTGCAAGTACCACAGTGGCCCTGTCGTGCTCCATCAATAGAGAGATTTGTGAAACAGGTCACAGAAGGCAGCAAGCAGTAAACACAGGAGAAATGTGAGGGTTATATCAGAGGCCAAGAAGCAAGCTGGCAACGGATGCCAAAGAACGAATCAAAACAAGACTGGATGAAACCCGCTTAGACATTTTTGTAACTCAGATAATTGCTTTCTGATGTTCGTTTATGAGTGTATGGATTATTTTTTGCTTAGCTAGATAACATTCATGCAGGAAAAAAAACCTTTAATTTTTGTAGCACAAGGTGCAATTTTGAGAAGATAAAGTTAACAGTATGTGGGTTACAAGAGATTTTTGTGAGGTATGTTATTAGACGTGGACTTACCAAACTAAATGTTGTGCAATTGCAAAAATAACAGCAGATTTGAATTCTTGGTGTAAAAAACCATATGTTTAGAACCCCCTCACTGAAAATAATTGCAAAAATTAATTTTCACCCCATTAAATGCCACATCCTATTATAACACATAACATAACACATATAACATAACATACAATAACAATGTCAGTGTAACTCGGGTGGATTCCGGCAGTCACTACTGCCGATTCACTTGTGGGCGCGCACATGCACAATGCAACAAAAGTTGCTATGCGCAGAAGCAAAAAAAACAAGATGGCAGCTCCTACGGCGCCACCCAGACAACCTGTTCAGGGGTGTGGCAGGTCTGGGTCACTGCCAGTTCCAGTGACCAGGGCCGCCAAACCATTACTGGTTTGGCCAAAGCGGTCTGAACCAGTAGGAACCCACCACTGGTGTAACTTTATAACATTACAATTCCTTATATACATGTCTAATACAAAAATATTCAACTCCATATACATTCAACTTCATACATATTTCTAATATGTTTATACAACTTTTGCAGGATTGGAAAGATAAATCTACCGCTCCATTTATTTAATGGTTGAAAACCTGCTTGCACTTGCACCCCCAGATTGGTTTTTCAAAAGAAAGGTAGTCTTAGCCTTAGTCTTTATAAGCCCTTTCCTTAAAGAATTCTGCTAGAGTCTGTCAAGTTCCTCTGAGGCCCACTGGGGGTGTTAGTAAAAAAAAAAACTTGCATCAATGTCACGCACCATTCTTTACTACTGAATTTGAACAAAAATTGTTTGCCAAACTTAATTTTTTTATTTGTCCTTTAAACTAAAATCCTTAAATGAATAAAGTTTTGAGTAGGAGGTAGCAAAATGAGTCAATGTTCTTACAGAGACAAAACAATGTTGTGGCTCAAGAAGTAATGTTCTTAAATAATTGATATTAATCTGATGGATTATGTTTGCTGAGAATAGCTATATAACCGATTAATATGGTGAATTAAAAGGCAAAGCTGATTACTTTCCCAGGAAAGGGTTTTGTACCTGACCTCATTTTTAGTTTTACTTCTTCTAACCACATAAACATTGAGGGTCTATGTGGGGACACAATAATTTAGAATAATTTTTTTTTAATTTATGAATGTATTCACAACAAATGATTTCCAAAGAAGCTTTCTATTCCTACATACACAATTGTAAGCATTGCATAGCATTTTATTAGCTATGAGCTTAGCTATTTTTAAACATTCGCATTTGAAAATCAAACTATAGGACACAACTTATGACACAATTGAGCCCAAAATTTCTGTTGTCGAGTGAGATACTTGTTAAGTGAGTTTTGCCCCACCTTTTACCACCTTTCTTGTTACAGTTGTCAAGTGAACCACTGCATCTGTTAAGTTAGTAACATGGTCGCCAAGTGAATCTGGCTTCCTCATTGACTTTGCTTGTCAGAAGGTGATCCACATGACCAAGTTGTCAAGCATCTGGAATTTTATTAAGTGACCATGGGGATGCTGCAATGGTCATAAGTCACTTTTTTTTAGTGCCATTGTAACTGAACAGTTACTAAGTGAACTGTTGTAAATTAAGGACTACCTGTAATCTGGGGAGGTTGTGTTAAAAATGAAAAGGTGAGCATTAGAATGAAAGTAATCAAGATGCAACTACAACAGTCAGATGTCCTCTATTATTGTGGTTGATTGACCACCTCAGACACTCTTTAAAGAGATGACTGTGTTTATCTCTTTAGCCACTGCTGTATTTGGATATAAGGTATAAGTGATTAAACAAATAACAGTAGCAAAAGTAAAGTAATGAATGTGCCAACATGGCTGAATTCCTAAATAATATGCAAATATGTCTTTCATTATTATTCATTGATATACAACTTGATTTACAACTTAGCTACCGTTTGAAGAGTTGAAACTGGTGTCGAGGCTCATGATTTAATTAGGGCATCTGTTGGAACCCTGACAATTGGTATTTATAAGACATGGATCAAGATCAGAGGTGGGTTGCTCCCGGTTCAGCCTGGATTGGGTGGACCGATAGTAGCTCCGCCCACCTACCTAAACGCTTCTGCACATGCACGCGTGCAAGCGAACCGGTAGTAAAAAAAAATTAGAAACCCACCACTGATCATGCCAATGTATAAAATCTACTGTGTTCCAGTTTCAGAAGTTATCTCTCTACACAGCCCAGTTTTCTTACTTCCTCCTCAAACTTTTCTCTGAATTTTAATGTCCCTAACGTGGGCGAATAAAGAATCGAAGCACTAAAATGAATAGTACTGTATTGCAGTATTGCAATAGATTTCAATAATTGTAATATTGTATTGTAGTATTAAGATTGATATAAATATATACCAGTGTATACATGCAATGGGCAGAGTTATTTATAAACAAATTTCCAGACCATTAATTTGTTAATTAAGAGTAAATATGAACTTAAAACTCTTTATGTAAGACTGGATGTTAACAGGTTACTCATTGGACTCTGTTCAGTCCATATTTGGCCAACTAGTCAAGCAAATTTTCTTTCCATTATTTTGTGCTCCATATTCATCATGTAAAAATAACAAAACTATTCAAGGCTCTCCAAATTTCTTGACTTATGGGACTGTATAAAATAACATCTGACTTTCTAGGTGGTTGTTTTCTGAATGAATTGAGAGGCCTAGCCATTAAAATAAACAGTTCTTCCACAGAGTGGCCAAGGAGTAGACCACAAAATTGCTCTCTTTCACCTGTGGTAGAAGCCCAAAAGCCAAGTAAACAAACCCACTTTTTCTTCTGTGAACATATATCATTATTTTGTGTTAAATACTTTGAAAATATGTTGTATTCACAGAATGATCAGGATCAATAAACTAGACTTATCCTTTCATTTGGGAGAAAAAAACGAATGTGTTACCAAGAGTGCTATTCTCTCCAATGTTCTACATCAGGGGTGTCATCACATGATGTATCATGACTTTTTTCCCTTTGCTAAACTGGCCATGGGTGTGGCCAACTATGAGATGCAATTATTCTAATAATGGTTTGTTTTGTGACTCCTGAACATCAGGCAAATTTTCCAAGATAAATATTCCAAGGCAAATATTTTTAGGGCTTGACTTATTCACTTTTTTCTCTTTACAGTAGATGTTTGCGAAGCTTTGACAATATAACCTTTTCCTTATAATTAAAATGCAGACAATCTTAATAAATTACATTTCAGGAAAGAAATCTGGATTGGTTCCCCCGGATGCGTGCCATGTCACTTGTTAGTAGCGACTCAGAAGGAGAACAGAATGAACTTAGAAACCTGCAAGAGAAGCTTGAATCAACGATGAAGCTGGTATCTAACCTTTCTAGTCAGCTGACGGAACTTAAAGATCAGGTACAAAACATAGGAAAAAAATGTTTACCAAAATAAGGCCCATAAGACTGCTTGAGAAAGGTGTAAACCTGATTAAATGGGAAAAAGGAAAATTGGAAGTGTATATGTCAGTGAAAATGGCAGAGGGTTGCAGGCAGCTGAAAACGGAGCTCAGGAGCCCGTTTTCGCTGGCAGAATGCTCAGGCCACCTTAGGCGCCCCCAACAGGAGTGACATCGAGCTGGCCACACTCAACCCTAGCCATGCTCACCCTGGCCCCCAAGGTCAAACACAACCCTGATGCGACCGTCAATGAAATCGAATTTGATACCCCTGGTATATGTGATATATATAGACATCAACAATAGTATTGTTAATAAATTGGCATTTTGACATCCGATTTCACAATTTTCCCCTTGCCATCACCATTTTGAAGTTTGAAGTTTGAAGTTTTATTTTATTTATATGCCGCCCTATTCCCTAAA